CATAACCTATGTGAACGCTTAAACGACTAGCCTTAATCGAAAGTTCTCTCCTGTTATCAGGAGAGATAATTAACTATAGGAGCTTGCGCCTATAGGAAACCAGAACTCAGATCAAAAAGTCCTCACAAAAATGAGGGCGAAATCTCTGGGTAATGTCTTATCTAAAACCCAATCTGTCTTCTGAAAATTCCCCCGGAACCTAATCCAGTTAAAACTCTCTGTCATCGTCGTCATACAAACACTTAAAAGAAAAATAGACGGATGACGTGGAGAGGCTGGGATCACACATAACATAAAATGAGAATTTTCGGAGCCCACAAACATTAAAGATGATGAAGATTTGACATTCATAGATACAATTGGAGATGAAGATGCCTCATTTGAAGACCCATTTAGTAATGTGACATGATTGGATTTTAGATGTTCTTTCTTATTTGTACGTTGGGAGTTTTAATAGACTTATATTTGTAGTTTTGTAATTTGAATTATGCTATGAGATGTATATATTGCATCTATTTTATTATTTTCCACTAATTTCACTTCTCATTTAGATGTTGTTATTGTATGATAGACTCTTATTGTTATTTACTTGCTAGCATACTTAAATTCTCATTTACGCAATTTTTCGTCCGTGAGGCTTACGCCTCACACCGCGTCGAGGCTTACGCCTCGCCTCACGGACAAAAAACGCCTCGAGGCTTATTTACGCAATTTTAAACCTTGTTTGGAATTAGCAACTATGATTTTTATAATTAAAATTTGGAGGCATTATATATATGGAGTCAAGTATGATGTCGCATTATTTATATGGAGTCAAGTATGATGTCTTCACATATCATAAAAGCCTTAAACACATCTAATCAAAAGAGCTTAATTTAAAACAGACGCTGGTAGGAGCTTATCAAAGATTATGACTTAAATATACATTACCATCCAAAATTAATAGTCTTTGATAGAGATGTCTGATCCACTTCTAGATTGTGGAAAAAGATTCAAAAAGCCTTAGGTACCAAATTGACTTTCAGTATTGCATTTCACCCACATACGGATGGGCAATAAGAAAGGATGTTGAATTTTCAAGTAAAACTTCTTATATAAATAATGACAAAGGTTCTGATATAAACTTTCAGCACTGCATTTCACATGATTTGGAATTGACATGATATGAGCTTTAACGTTCTGTGAATATACAATCAATCAAAACCCATATTTTCAAATGAATCGTTTTTTTTTTTTTACTACTTAAACCTCATAGTACACATTAAACAATAACTAAATATAATTACTAAAAATTTACATTTTATGCTTTAGAACTAACACTTCACTTTGCTTCATACTTTCAAATGTTTTGCTTTGCACTTCCACTTTTTCAGAATTTCACTTCGTAAGTTATCATGAATGCACAATTATCACTTGGGTGTAAAACCTGGCTGGATCATCAAGTTTGCTGACCCCCTTCCTCCCTCCCTCCCAATGTTTAAAATTGCGTATCCGGGTATTGAGGCGTTTTTCATTCGTGAGGCGAGGCGTAAGCCTCAAGGCGTTTTGAGGCGTAAGCCTCAAAATCAAAAGATTGCGTAAACATAATGCAAGTCAAATCTCAGGTTGGGGTCAATTTTATGGTGACAACAAGAATATTAGCAAGCATTGATTGTTATGTACTTATGTTTACCTATAACATCCCAATCGGTCCAATCATTCCATGCATCTGGCCAGCTGGGCTCAATGCGATGGTGCCAGCAAGAAAATGGTGCGCACACACAATTAGACTTGTGGCCCTGTTTGCACTTGCATCACAAGGGTAGTATGAGGGCCGATTTGATTATCCCTTGTCCCAAATTACTTTAGTTCACAATTCCAAGAATGAAAAGTTATTCTATTGAAATTCTGCAATCTACAAGAACCAATAATCAATGCACCAAAATGAACTTTGTCTTGTAATATTATCTTCAATGAAGAGTTGTTTTACATTGTATGTTAGCATATTTGTCTCCATAAAGAGGCATTATTAAAGATTAAAACAGCTACTAATCATGGTAATCATAAACCTGATAGAAAGAGCATAACCGGTGAGAATTAGAACTATCAATAATGAAAGCTTGATGATTTAAAAAGAACAGAAAAAAAATGCAGCACACAAAATATATTAAGGTTTTTAAATGCATACCAGTCGTGGGGACAACACTTACCATGTTCAGTAATAACTCTTGGATTTTATACAGAAAATGGAAAACAGTAAAGCACAAAATTATGTTGCTAAAAAATAAATAAATAAACCATGTAATAGAATATCACAATACCTCTGCTGGCTCGAACCAGACATCAGGATTCATTGAATCAGCAACTCTATAGTATGGCTGAAATGAGGTGTAAGCCAGATACCATACGTTTAGAAGGAAAACATAAATAAAAGCTCTGGCGTGCTACAATCAGATATAAAAGGATTACTTTTGGCTTTGGTATAACTTTACTTCCAAGACTTTTGGACCTCTCTTCAAGCTGCAACTCAGAAAACCCAGTACCTAAAGAATATATAAATGATTATTTTACCAAGATCAAAAGAAATGTTGATAATAAACAATTAGCCTATATGATGAACAATCATCATCTTACCGATGTTACATATGCTTTGATATTCATCATTTTGTTCATCATAGCAAGCAAGAAGAAAAGAACCATAAACACCTGCTCAATTGCCAGAAAAAAAAATCATCGAGTGAAAAAATTGAACTGATAGCAAAAAAAATTAACCATTCGCGTTTTGTTCAGAAATACATCGGACCAATAGAAACTGATACACCAATCTTGGGTGAGGAATTTCTATATAAGCAAATTCATTCAACAGAGGGCCAACAGAAGAGTTACGCAAGTAGGTACCTGTGCGTTTTCCACGACCGTGGAAGGCAGCAATGGGAACTAGATCTAAAGTGTCTCCTACACTGCATCAACGAATAACTTCATAAGCGGAATAAAAAAATATAACTTAGTAAGGAAAACAAACTCAAAATAGAAATTTGCATTCATGAATATCGTTTGCGATAAAATTGGTCATCTGGTGACATAAAAATTCAGCAACCAAGTTGAACTTCACCCACAAGAAAGAAGGAAGCCTGAGCATGCTTAAGAAACTGAAAAGGTCATGATAACATGTCATCATGGGTAATTTAACAAAGTGACTGAGTGAAATCATCTTCAAGACTATTAAGGTACACATTAGAGCATCAGTATAACGTACAATTAGTTTAAAATGTTACGTGGCTGAAGGATGGAAAGGGTATCAGAAAGCAAGGAGAACCAGCTATCATCAACCCACGTCCATGACAACAACTCTTCCTAATAATAATATATTGTTAGGATTCCATTGATGTTTATTAGGCAAGGAATACCATTTTTCTAATGATGTTTCTTCACTTCAATAGTGACTTCACTTAGATTCAACTTTCTCATGTGCAAAAAATCCTTGCGCATTAAAAGGCACCACAATGTATCTCATGCGAAAAATCAGCTGCCTCATAACAAAACAGCATGTGTTTTTCCGTTGTTTTAAATCTTGCATGTTAATTATATTACCGAGTTGCTTGAATCAATTGTAATTCCAGACTTCCACACAACTTCAAGCTAAACATCAACTCAAACTATCTTCATATATAATTCAATTTATTAGCTAGAACACTGCGTGAAGTGGTATCAGAACTCCACTGCAACATCAAGCAATAGAGTGGCACCAAAGCTCCATGGTAACATTCAGCAATGTTATATTATTTTATCATTAATGTAAGGAATATTTTTCTTTCCTCAGAAAAATAAATCACAATATAGTGAAGCTAACAATATGTTTCTTAAGTCTATTTTAATCAGTGAATATAAAAAAATATTCGTTCCCAATTACCGAAATCAAGCATCTCAAGCCATGCATTTTCCTAATCTAGTTTGAGACTAAAGAAAAATGCACTAATGAGGCAAAGCACTTAATATTAATTTGTATCGCAAGATTTTAAATAAATACAAAAGTTATTGAACAATAATAGATAGGAAAAAAATAAATGACATTCATGGAAAATAAACAAGATAAATCACATGAACAACACGGGTTAAAGGCATATCCATGATGGCTCTACTCCAAGGCAACAGTTCAAAAGCTAAAAAGAAATCTTGAATTCAATGACAAAAAGTAAATCAAAATATATTAGATAGCAACCACAGCACCTGTCCATATAATCTTTTTTTAATTTTAACCAGTTGTTTGACCTTTTCGAAGGCTCATATGTCGCATCTTTGTCCAAAGTTTTGATAATCAACCCTTCACAGCTTCATATACATTAAAGATAATTGTTAGAAATAATTGTTAGAAGGTAGAAAGACAACAGCAAATAATAAAATTACACATAAATAACTCAACACTGAACCTAAAAAGCCTCTAATGAAACTAAAGCAGGTGTGGAATTGTATCAGCAAGGAAGCATTTAATGCATGGGGCGATAGATCACTAACAACTATAACCTTAGAGAAGGCAGCCCCCTACTAAATATATATCCAAGGTGCACTATCTTTGAAATAACAATATATCAAGCCAAAGCAACAGGGATAATGAATTCGTGATGCTCCAGGTAACTAAAAAATAAGAATCCACTGATAGTGAACATGAAACCAAAAATCACATTTAACAAAAACACTGCAAAAAAATCAAAATATAAAGCAATAATCGATTAAACCGAAGTTTCTTTACAGCTACAAGGATGATTCATCTATCAAAATACCTGGAGCTGACAGCTTTTTCTAAGAACTTCTGTATTTCTTCAAGATCATTAGATGTTATTGTAGTTGCAAAACGAAATTCTCCTGGTACTTCCGCAAAAGAATTGTAAAGTTCCTGCAGAAAGATGCACATAATCAACACTTTAAAATTCACAAAGGATTGTGGTGAAAGAAGATATCATTTAGATATAAAATAACAACAAATTAACAATGTTTGAGCATTACTCAACCCATTTTTTACATATTGGTATAAAATAACAACAAATTAACAAAGTTCGGATTAAGTTGTAATAAGACGCTTAAGAGACTGCCTGTGTACTTACCACAATTGACAAAAGTTGTACCACATCGAATGCTCTGGCACTAATAAGATTCAATTTTGAATTAATTTCATTAGATTTGACATGAGTTTTATGATCGGTTGTCAAGCTAATATTAATTATCAATCTTCCTCATTCGGACTTTGGGCAAACAACAGTAGTAATAAAAAATAAAATATCACAAAATTATAATTATAATAATAATAAGGATAAGGATAAGAACAAGGATAATAATAACAAAAACAATATTAATAATAACAATTTTTTTAAACAAATTTTGATGTTAGCCACAAAAAAATATGAGCCAATGAATGAAAGGACTATACATCATTGGCTAGTCACATAGAAAAGCCCCTCAATCAACAAAACCAAAGCGCAAAGCAACATCAAAACCTAAACATCTCTAATTTAATTCAATTTTCCCCCATTGAATATATTTAATAAAATGTGCTCATGCTGAGCAGATGTTTTGCTCAACATTTGCAGCACATTGGTTGTTTTTCTTACTTATGTCAGCAAGCATACATAATTTATAACTGAAATCAATCATTCAACTAGTCTGTAAAGCAAATGGATTGAACTAACCAATGCAAACCCATAGAAAATAGCATTGAACATTCTTAGCACTGGCATCTCAAAGATGCAGAAAAATTTTAAGAGATTAATTACTAATGGAATTTAGTGCAACATAGGCTTCATTTGAGATAGATTTCTAGTTACTTTTGGGGTAGGAAAAGTATAACAAATAACAACATCAAGCCTTTATCCCACTATGTAGGGTCGGCTACATGAATCTTTCTTCTCCATCGTGTCCTATGAAGAGTCAAATTCTCAGGGGTGGGAAAAGTATCTAACAAAAAATAGTGTCCTTTCAGATGATGGTTATTTACTAATTTTCCAAAATTTTGCCTTAGACAAACTGCATTGTGGTAGAAATAACAGCAATTGTGGTTCAAGAAGTAACTTTTAACAGTAAATGCAGAAGAATAGCATAAGCCACCCAATTGAAGTCTTATTGGGAGCACTATTGATAATGCAACTACTATAATTTCAATGTAAATCTTTAACCTTTAACCTACCATTTTGATGAGGACATCGGGCCTTATAAAATCTACCGGAGGCGGGGCCAACGATCTACGGCCACGATCGCGCCAATTTATTTTTGAGTTATTTTATATATTTTGATTTATTTATATACTTTTCTATTTATGCCCTTACTCGAATGATTAGTTATTTATAAGCCCTAGGGGGTATACTGTCTTTTATTTTTCCCTTCATGTATTGGACTATTTAAGTCCCTCCTCTTCTTCGAGAGGACTAATGAAAAATTCTAATAAAAATTTTCTGCAACTTTGTATGTTTGTGAGAGCTTGAGAGCTTTGGAGAGAAATCCCTAGGAGAGGGAAACGAATCATCCACCAACCTTGGAAGCGTCTGGGTTCGTGGCTATTTTCCTCCCTATCTTTTCCTCTTCTTCCCTTCCTCCCCTCCTCTTCCTCCTTTAAGCCGCCACCCCCAATCCCACTAAAGCCCCTCCACCTCTCGGCCCAAATTCCCCTCCACACCTTAACCCAACCGACCACCCACTTTTCCCCCTCCAAACCGCCAACTCCAACCAAGCCCTAGCCCTAGCCGCCGCCCCCTTCTCTCCACACATCAGACCCCATCAATACTTGCCTTTTTCATAACTCCTAATTTATAAAGCCATAATTTTAAATTTCCAATCAATTTTGAAATTTGATTTATTTCCTAAAATAGAAATCTATTTTAGGAAAGTTTCCTAAATCTCATCCAAATCAAATTCAATCTGGATATGATTTAATTTATTTGGCCTCAATTAAAGATCCCATTTAGGCAAGCATTAAAAACCCTAATCAAAGCCTTCCCCACTCATGATGTCACTGGCCCCTCCCCCTCTCTCTCAATCCCCCACTAAATCACCTTCCTTTTGAAGACACCAATCAATTCCCCAATCTATAAAATACTTTCCTTCTCCTCCACTTATTTGAATTTCAAATCTTTAAATCCTAGTTCCCTCCAAGTAGAAATCTGAAAATTAATTTCAGATTTTGGAAAAGGATTCCCTCTCCTAGCTTTGGTCGAACCATTATTGTTGGCTTGATACTTCATCCAAGGACGAAGGGGAAGAAGAAGCTGCACTACTTGCTCTTCCATACAACCTAAACTACCGCACCGGAGCTTCGTATTTCATTTCTTTGGGTAAACTCTTCCTCCCACTCTTTTATCTTCCTAGTCGCTTTTCAATTGTGGTTTTAGTTTGATTCACAAAGATCTTGTTAACTCCCCTCCGCTTAAGCCTAGTGATTCAGAGAGTCAAGTGAGGGATCCTTTCATAGTGACTAGTCTTGTTGTTAGCAAAGGGATTTCTTGTTGAAAACCATCCATGCATGCAACGTTAGAGTAATTGACTGTTTTAAAAAAGCAGTATTATGAAAGTTTCATGTCATTGGCTGTTGAGCTGGATTTCCACCTTACCAACCGTAACAGGCAGTTACCTCATTCAATCATTATACCGAATCAAACTCATTAATTCACATACCTGTAACTCTAATTTCCACAATCTGCATCTCATTTAAGATATTAACCTTTATGCATGTAATTTGGCTTAAGCTTGTTTTATCGCTTCATTGTTTTATTTTATCGTTTAAATCAATATAAGTTATACTTAATATTGTTCTCTAACATTTAAGCGTGTGAAATCCTAAATCAATATCATCTTAAGCATTATTGTCCTGCATCACATTTATTGGTGTTTCTTATCATTTTATATATCTAAAAAATATATTTTGAATAAATATCTATCTTAGTTGAAATACTTTAATTAGAAATTTAATATTGTTTAGCAGCTAATAGTTCATGTACAAGCAACTGTATGCTTGTCTATATTGTTATAGGCTTCAAGCTGCCATAGTCGTTAAAGGCAATTTAATAAACAGACTAAAGGTTTTTTTTTTTGCTACGGTTTCTAAGAAGTAAAATTTTACCAATTCATGCAGGTTAAGAAGCTTATGAACTGATTGATATCAGTAATCAGATTCTAATTTTATACAGTAGCGTATGATCATGTAATTCATTTTAATTTTCACCATTTGACGGGACTCGTCATCACCCTATCCCAGCAATTTAGGGTTAGTTTTATGAATCCTCCTTTACCATTACTTTAAAAAAATACTGTTATAAGACATTAGATTTTTATGTTTAAATGTGTGATTTGTTTTGACTTTCTGAATCAATAAATGTTTTCTTACTTTTTTTAATCATTTGATGAAATAGTTTCCCATGTATAGCATGGGGCAAGATACAAATTTATGATAACAAGAAGAGAAATTAAGTAAAAGGCAAATGGATCAAATTGAAGTGAAGGACAGAAAAGAAACACTTACAGAAAAATAATTAATCTAGAAATTACTTTCAAATGATCTAGTCAAACTGGCAACTGTCAGCAGATAAAACAGTCAGAAAAATAGAAAATCTCTTCAAAGGGATCATGTAACTACCCGTGTTTGCATCTTTAATCATGAGGATATGTCCTGCTCAAAGCAGATTTGCAAGAATGCAAGCAAAAGCTTTAGTAGCTAAGGAATGTCTAAGTTGTGAGATTGGATCATAATCTACTCGATATGGCCTGAACTGCCAAACCAAACAAGAAAGATGCAGTGCGATATCAGAAAAATGATCTAAACTAGCCCAGGAAGAAAGGAGGAAAATATCATGTGATGGAAACTTTTTCCAACATCCTTATTACCTAACTTAAAGAGGTTAGAAGATAGACAAATGTTTTTTTCTTGGTTCTACCCAAAGGGAACATGAAAATGGGTGCTAATCCCTTGATGCCCAAAAAAAAAGCTCCTCTATGATCCTAATTGAAGATAATTTGAAGGGGCTCAAAAGCTGTTGGAAAAAAGCAGTATTAAGAAAGTTTCATGTCATTGGCTGTTGAGCTGGATTTCCACCTTACCAACCGTAACAGGCAGTTACCTCATTCAATCATCATACCGAATCAAACTCATTAATTCACATACCTGTAACTCTAATTTCCACAATCTGCATCTCATGATTTGGATTCTATAGATGGACAGATATACACGACATAGCTAATAATCAAACAGCTTAGATAAGGCGAGTAGCCAACCCTCCGAGACCAAGCACAAAAAGGACAGTAAATTATCCAAGAGGTTTTGGGAATATATCTTAGTATTGTAATGTATAAAAATTACAAACAATTCATTGCTCCTATAGAATGAATTTAATTATAAACATAAAATAACTCCAATACCTCCCTGCGAACTTTGAGTTGCTCATGGAGGAGGGCCGGTGGAGGGGATTTGGGAGGAAGAGAGTTTGGTTAGGTAGAGAAGAAATAAATTGGGTTTAGGAAAAAAAAAATCCGGAGCTACACACCTCGAGCAACACCTCCAATAGAACTCACAAAGAGATCTACAAGCGCCACTTCCTCAAGAACTCAAAAAGAGATCTTGAGAATCTCGGAACTCACAAAGAGATCCTTCCACTTCCTCAAGAACTCACAAAGAGATCTTGGGAATCTCGGAACTCACAAAGAAATCCTTCTCCTCTTATGAACTCACTAAGAGATCAAACAAGTAAAATAAAATTTCATTAACAATTCATCATCCCATTACATAAGAAAGGGCCTCTATATATAGGCCTAAGAAACTAAAACAATACACATATGCCCCTAAGGCTTACAAAATGTTAATGTGGGACGATGATAGCCGTTGATCTTCAGCTCCTCGAATAGCCATGGACGGTTGGATGTCCGCATCAAAAGTTAATGCATGCAAACTTGCCCTTTATTGCAAAGAGAGGTTATTTCCATAACGCCAACCCATGGCCTCTTGATTAGAGGGTTATCAACCTAATTACTAATTACTGCTCTAGGCCTCCCTCTAATTAGTAACAATACCTGAATATTGAAAGCATAAACATGATGTTTATTGCACCAGAAGCAACAAATATTGGTTTAAATTTTTCCATGGCTTCTGTCAAGTAACAAATATTAGTTAATTACCATAATAAATCCTACAAATACAGTTGTTACCTGGAAAGGTAAGATTTTCTGCTTCTCACGATCAAATGCAACAATTTCACAATCCAACACAAAAGAGCTTACTTCTGGGTTCTTGAATCTGCATTAAAATTTGATAATTATGCATAATTAATATCATTAAAAATGTTAATGATATAATGCTAAACCAATTACACGCATACAAATGCACAGAGCAAGTGCACTTCTGTAAACAAACGTCAGAATTGTGCAAAGAAAAGGAAAATGTTTTGTTTATACAAATAGGAAAGCTTTCACTAGGAACCAAAATGGTAAAGTTTGATCAATCATTGTTGTTAGAAATTATAACAAATCGAAGTAAAACCCTAGTGGCCGAGCGATTGACACCAGATCAATATAGTGAAAGTGGTATAGCTTTAAAAATAATTATAATAGATAAATATATGTATAGGAGAAAAATAAATAAATAAGCCAAAATTGCAAAATAAGTTTTATAACTCCATTCAAATTGAAAGAATAATATATATTTGATTCAATACTCAACAAAACATAAGTACTAAAGATAAAGTTATAGTTCAACCTTGATACAGCACTGACCACATCAGGGTATTTTCCAGTATTTCGTTCAGCATTACGGCTATATACCTCTATAGAACCATCTTCCATGTAATGTATCTGCAATTCAAGAAAGAAAACAGAAAGCAACTTGAAGCATGTGCACAAATTTATAAAATTCTGCGTAGTAACATCCAAACATGGATCATACATGCCAGGAATGTCTCTAAAAATGATAAGACAAGTTTCATAATTTGCAAATCAAAGAAGACAATTAGAGTTTGCAGCAATACCTGAGCCCGCTCACCATCATACTTATATTCACATGTAAACTCGGTTCCTTGAAATTTGTCTAGGATCTCAGAGACTGATTTTGTAGGTTTAGCCAGCATAGGTCCCACTGGCACACCCAAAGAGAAATTGCATGCCTCTGAAAGTTTCAGTACCCCAACATGAAGAAGAGCAGGCACAATTTTACCGTAGTCCGGCAGAACAGAATATACTTGTTTAATGATCTTTGCAGCCTAGTGTGCATGAAAATGAAAATCAATAATAAACACAAATCAGGCAAATAGGTAGAAACTAAGCTTAACTATGATCGAATTCCAATTAAGCATTCATAATACTTAACCATGATTGAGATTATACTCTGAGGTGAAGTATTTAAAATATACTGCCACACTGAAATTCAGCTTCGTAAACGTGAAGATCGATGTCGAAAGCTACAAACCCATGGATACAATTCCAGGATTACTATTTAGTTAAAGAATTAAATTCGTTTTAGCAATCTAGTAACGGCTGAGATAATGCAATGTCAGTTAAGACGTGTATTACATAATAATATTCATATTTCTACACTTGTTGAGATTATGAAGTGAATAATCATGTTGAATGCCTCTAAGGTTTGAGGAATATGTTTACTAAAATTGATTCGGGATGAGATCGTGAAGTGAATAATCAATTTGTTTGTACACTTAAAAAGAAGTATATAAGGGAAAACTTTCCTTGTAATTTGGGAGTCAAATCAAAAAAAGACCTAGAAAATCACATTCAATGAAGTTATAACTGTCCAGTTTCTACATAGAAAATGCCAATGTGGGTGATTCTCAAATCACAAGAATCACCTACGTTGAAAGCCAAGAGGATATCATTAAAACAATAACAACAACATCAAGCTTTTATGCCACTATATGAGGTCAGCTACATGAATCATTTTTCTCCATTTTGTCACGCTCAAGAGTCAAATTCTCATCTAAATCTAATAAAAAAGGTAATTTCTAATATTTTCTAACCATAAGTCTACCTTTGACTTTCTTAACATAGATCAAATCTAGTACAAAAAATGCTTGGTATATACTCTTGATTCAACACATTCTACTCTCCTAATCGGGTGATCAGAAGGCTGACGCTCTATGTGACCAAACCATCGAAGGCAACTCTTTCTAATCTTATTAGCCAAAGGAGTTACCGAGTTACTCCAACCTTTGCACCTATATGCTTGTTTTGCATTCTATCTCTCAAAGTAAAGCCACTCATCCAACTGAGCATCCTCATCTCTACAACACTTAACTTAATTTTATTATTCTTTTTTAATGGCCAACATTCTACGTCATAAAGCATTACAAGTTTCACCACCATCTTATAGAATTTTCCTCATATTAAGTTTGAAGGGTCCTTTTTTATCACACAACAAGCCTAATGCATTCCTCCACTTCAACCATCCAACTTGAAATATATTAATAATATCCCCATCTATTTCAACATCACTCTGAACAATAGACCTGAGCTATCTAAAACATGTACTTTCATTAATGACTTGATCGCCCAAAGTCACAAACCCCCCACTAAATCTATTACTACTAAAATTACATTCCATATATTCAATTTTAGATCTACTCAAATAAAAGCCATTAGAATCTAAGGTTGACCTCCATAATTCAAGTTTACCTTCAACTTCCTCCCTAGTCTTATCAAAAGAATATAATCAGCAAGAATCATAAACCAGGGTACATTCTCTTGCAAATGTTTAGTAAGAACATCCATCACTAAAGAAAAAAAAGATATGGGCTTAAAGCTAATCCTTGATGTAATAAGATTGAAATAGGAAAATACTTGATTAAACCACCTTGTGTTTAAACATAGTAACATCTCTTGCATACATATCTTTAATGACTTGAGTATAACCATTATAAATCCCTTTCTTTTCTAAAACTCTTCATAGAATCTCTCTTGGAACTTTATCATAAACTTTTTCTAAATCAATAAATATCATATGTAGATCCTCCTTATTCTCTCTATACTTCTCCACTAAACCTCTCAATAAATGTATAACTTCCATAGTAGACCTACCCGGCATGAATCCACATTGATTTTGAGAAACATTAGTATGACGCCGTAACCTATACTCAATAGAAGTACGTAAGAAATTGCCAATGCGGGTGATTCTTAAATCGTCATGTTGAGGATATCATCAAAAGTGCATAAACATGATCAGATCATCAATCAGACAACATACAAAAAAGATAAATACTGTTAAAACTAGATTGTTGCGTTCTTTATCACTTATTGTCAAGATCCTCTATGCTTGACTTTTTGTGTGTATTTTATTGTAATTTCCATATAGCAACAATCGTTGCCTTGTTGTTAAAGGTGATGTGGCTGATGGTGACTACCTTGCATTGATGGTCTATTATTGATCCTGATATTATACCCCACTACATTGCTAATCTCACGTTGTTGTTTCCTATTATCATTTTTTCCCTATTGTTGTTGTCATTGGATTGAATTTTGATGTTTTTTTGTGTTTTAACATAAAATAAGTCGGGTTGCGACAACTACTTTCTCTCTGATGGAGGAAAAAACAATAACATGGAAGAAATTTTATATAAAGCAGAAAACATAATTTTATATATAGAAGAAAACATTATTGAGAAGAGAATCTAAGGATTAAGTTTGTATTAGAGCACCAATTCTTCGTGCATGATACATAAGAAGAAGGGATACATAACAAGGAACAACTGCTTCTAGTATTAGAGATGAATCAGAAGTCAAAAAAGAAATGAGATGAAATGAAAGAAAGTTAATCGATGGATAATAATAATTCTAGCTCAAGTTACAAGGATAAAAAAAGTTAAAAGGATAACAAAGTAGATGGCCATCATGATGGAGTTAATGAGGCTTCAAATAACTGCCACTACAACTAGTGGCCAAATTATAATCCTCATCCCACGAAAGGTACAAACATGAGCAGAGGGAATTAGGACAAGATTATAGCTACCATTCATGAAAGAAATATGTAGTCATTTAAAGCATAAAAGCTAAATTAGATAAGCCTATATATGATACAATGGTCAATTTCAAGGAGCTTGATGCATGGATAGATTAATTGGATACTATTTCACCTTGTACGGGTATGACACCAAAGATAAAGTTGCCTTTGCCCGGTTGAAGTAAAGTCATCATGTCTTAGGTGGTGAAATGAATGGCCATCATGAAGTGACTTAGGAGATGCTTAAGCAACTAAAACATTAAGAATTCTAACTAATGAAGTACGTAGAAAAGCAGTGGAAAAAATGGCAGTTTCAGATAGTGCTAAGGGCCAATATATGGACGAGTACACCACGAAGTTTCAATGACAATCAATCACTTTGGGGGTCAATTTGGAGATGTGCGGACTCTAATAAAAGTATACCTGAAAGCTTTATTCTCAAATTGCAAGTGGACACCACTAATTTTATTTTCTTTTTCTACTCTATTATCCATTTTTTTCAAATATTTACTTTTTATTTTAGACAAAATAATCAATTTTCTCAACTACAAATTAACAATTTATAATATCATATTATTTACTGAGCAACTAAAATGAATTTATTATTATATCAATTCATTTCATATTAATTTCATTATTGCAATTATCATATTTTTATCATTTTTTAAAATATAATATTATAATGTCATGTCTAATGCGTGTCAATGACAATATTTTCAATAGGCATGTCTCATCATCTATGTTAAATCATTATCTCATAGATGTGTTTCATTGTCCAAGTCAAATATTGTTTATGTGACCCATGTCCATGTCAATGCATCATAGCTCAAATTCACCTAACAAGCTAAAATAATTTCTTTGCTTTTACATGATTAGCTATCAACATGTAGGCATACCTAAGCACACATCTAAGAACAAATCCTACCCAAAAACCATTAAGCAACACTTGCAATCTTTCATAAATAATAGCCAAAAATAATTTATAATGAAATTATGTTTTTTATTCAAAAGGGATTATATAAATTTAATATTTGGGAACTACCATCCATTCTTGAAAGTGCCTCTTTTTTAATAGAAAAGAGGGATGTTTAGATACTTCTGTTAAAACTGAGAATTTGAGAGGAAAAAGCTTGTCTTTATTCATTACTATATTCTCTATTTATAGATCTATACAAGATATCTTAATGAGGAAATAATAGATTACAGATTTAATACATAAAATTTCTAATAAAATCTTTCCTAAATTCGTTCCTTCATTATGGTGTGATCCATGAGAGCATCCCATGGATTGATCTGTGTCCGTCGGATTCTTTGCATTGGGAACGGCTGGATTTCAACACTCCCCCTCAAGTTGGGAAATATGGATCTGTCATTCCCAACTTGTCAATCATTCTGAGAAAGACAGAACTGTCCAATCATTTGGTAAGAATATCTGCAAGTTGATCCTTTGATGATACATGGTCGACACTTACTAGACCATTGTCTATTTTTTCTTTAATGAAATGTTTGTCCACTTCTATGTGTTTGGTCCTGTCATGCTGAACTGGATTGTGGGCTATGTTGATTGCTGATTTGTTGTCACAATGTAACTTCATGGGCTAATCCCACTTGACCTTTAAGTCTTCTAGAATTATTTTGATCCGTAGTAGCTCACATATTCCCAAGTACATAGCTCGATATTCTGCTTCTGCACTGAATCTTGCCACCACATTATGTTTCTTGCTTCTCCGTGTAACTAAGTTACCTCCAAGAAATGAGCAATATCCAAAGGTATATCTTCTATCAACCGGTGATCCTGCGTAGTCAGCATCCGTGTATACTTCTAGAGTTATTCGCGATCTCTCTTAAAGAGAATCCATTTTCCTGGTTTTCCTTTAAGGTAGTGCAATATCCTGTCAACTACTTGCATGTAAATCTGCTTTGGATTCTGCATAAACTGAATGACCATGCTTACAGCTAATGCTATGTATGTTCTAGTGTGGGAGAGGTAGATCAATTTTCCTACAAGTCTCTGGTAGGCCACTTTATCTACATCTGGATCTTCTCTAGCTTCTCCCAGTTTAAGATTAGGTTCTACTGGTGTCGGTGCTAGTTTACATGTTTCTTTTAGAAGATTTTTGATATATTTCTGTTGTGAAATGAAGATTCCTTTGCTGGAGTGAGCTACTTCAATTCCGATAAAGTATTTTAGTCTACCAAGTTCTTTGATGTCAAATTCCTTAGTAAGAATTTTCCTTATACTAACTTTCTCCTCTTCATTATTTCCAGTCAAAATAATATCATCAACATACACTAATAATATTGTGACTCCCCTGAGTCTGAGTGTTTAAAGAATAATATATAATCCCCTTGACTCTGTCGATACCCATTAAGGAGCATGAATTTAGAGAATCTTCCGAACCAGGCCCTTGGTGATTGTTTGAGCCCATATAGAGCCTTTTTTAATCTGCACATCCTGTTACCTTCAGATTTTTCTTTAAACCCTGGTGATATTTCAATAAATATCTCTTATTCTAAATTCTCATGCAATAATGCATTTTTCACATCCAATTATTCCAGATGCCAGTTGTATTTGGCTGCTATCGAGAGTAGTATTCTGACAGTATTCATCTTGGCTACAGACGCAAACATTTCTTAGTAGTCAATGCCATATGTTTTGAGTGAACCCTTTTTGGCTTTTTCCACCAGTCTTTGCCTTATATCTCTCAAGTGTGCCATCAGTTTTGTATTTTACTGAGAACACCCATTTGCAGCCGACCGATTTTTTTCCTATCGGTAGATTGACAATCTCCCATGTTTTATTCTTTTCTAGGGCCTGCATTTCATCCTTAATGGCATTTTTTCATTTTTTATCAGATAAGGCCTCATAAATATCTTTAGGAATGTGGATATCTTCTAATGTAACCAGAAAATTTTTGTGTGGCGAAGAGAAGTTGTTGAAGGATATAGAGTTGTTTATGGGGTATAAGGGAGGTGGTGAGCTTAAATTATTTCCAGGAGATGGTTCAAATTCTTGGATCTGCTTTGGAGCACAGCTTGAGCTTGTACGTTTGGAGTAAACCTTTCCAAATCTAATGATAGCTTTGTCATTTGTTTCCCTATCTTGAGTTTTTGGTGGATTGGTTTGAGGTGGTGGAGGAAGGTCAAGAGGTGTCAGTTCATCTTCCTCAAGTTTAGTCTCCCCCTGAAGATGAGATTTTGAAAAATATGAATTTTGATCATCAAAGGTAACATCAATAGAGACAAGGATTTTTCTTGTGGGTGGATGATAACACTTATAACTTTTTTGGGTAGCTGAATAGCCAACAAAGATGCATTTGAGTGCTCTTGGATCTAATTTTCCTCTCTCCTGACTGTGAATATGAACATAGGCAGTACATCCAAATATTTTGGGCTTAAGATTATGATGGGTTCGAAACTCTGGGTAAAAGGAGGACAAAGTTTCCATTGGAGTTTTGAGTTCTAAGCTGTTGAAAGTAGTCGATTTATGAGATAAGCTGTAGTTAAAAGAGCTTCCCCTCAATAGGATTTGGGTGTATTGTAGTGAAATAGGAAAGCTCGGGTGGAGGCTAGGAGGTGACCATTTTTACTCTATGCAACCCCATTTTGTTGTGGGGTGTGAACCCAGGACTCATGGATGATCCCTTCACTCTGGAAGTAGAAGGAAAGTGTTTGGTTGAAATAATCTTTGGCATTATCGGAGCGGAATCTCCTTATTTTTATCCCGAATTGATTTTTGATAATTGAATGAAAGATGGGAAGAATGGTGCTAACATCAGATTTATTTTTAATGAGATAGATCCAAGAGACTTGAATGCAATCATCAATGAATGATACAAACCAACGTGCCCCAGAGATATTGGGGATTTTTTAAGGTCCCCATATATCACTATGAATAAGGTAGAAAGGAGTATCACATCTCTCACTTTTGTTTGGGAATGAGGTTCTTTTATGTTTAGCCAACTCACAAGTTTCACAATGAAAATTTTTATTTTCTAATTTCTAGAAAAGTTGTGGATACATATATATAAGGATATCAAAAGATGGGTGACCTAGTCTATAATGATGAAACCAAATAGTGGAATTCCTATCGACTAGGGATAATATAGAGCAACTATTTTTAGATTGGTTTGGTTCTTCCAGGTAGTACAATCATGTTTTCTCCTTAGCAAGTCCAATCTTCTTCCCCAATCTCTTGTCTTAAAATAAGCAATAAACAGGGTTAAATAAGGCTTGACAATTATGGTGTTTAGTAAGTTTTTGTATTGATATTAGATTTGTGGATAATTGTGGTACGTGGAGCACATTTTTCAGGGTGAGTGAGGGAGATAATATTATGTCTCCTTGGCCAGCAACCATGGTAAGAGAACCATCAGTAGTGATGATTTTCTTGTTGTTTGGGCAAGAAGCATAGTTTATGAGGTGGGTAGGTGAGTGGGTCATGTGATATGTGGCTCCTGAATCAATGATCCATAATTCCTTTAAATGATTTCTTGAAGTACTTAAACTAATAGAAATTGGAGTCTTACCTGAAAGTGCAAGTGAAGAAGAAGCATTTGATTTTTCAAGAGATATCAGGAGTCGTTTCAATTTATCAATATCTTATTTATTGAATTCTCCAAGGCTGGACTGTGCTTCTGACTTACTTGTAGTGTTGTTGACATATGATGTGCTCCTTGTTTCATCTTTTTTATTCTACCCCTTGCTGGAGGGTTTTCCATGTATTTTCCAGCACGTTTCCTTTGTGTGTCTTAATTTTTTGCAATAGCTGCACCAAAGTGAGTCCTTGTCTTTAAATTTTGAAGAATATTTACATTTCTCCTTCCATGACAATTCTTTGTTCACCACCATTGCTGAATTTCCAACAGTCTTTGGTTCTAACATCACTCATCGACTTTCTTCCGCTCGAATGAGAGAAATGATTTCATTGAGTGATGGCGTCTCCTCTTTGTCGAGGATCTGGACTCTAACCTGCTCAAATTCTATATTTTGTCCTGTAAGAAAACCATAAACTCTATCTTTTTCAATAAAGTTCTTTAGGATTGCGGCATCTTCCGGACATTTGGTTTCTATGCATCTATAGTGATTAAGTTCTTGCCAAAGATTTTATAGAATAGTGGCATATTCCATCACAGTCTTACTCCCTTGCTTTGTGCTTCCAACTTTGACTTTAATTTCAAAGATTTGAGCCGCATCTCGAGCTTTGGAGAAGGTCTGTCTAGCAGCATCCCATATATCCTTTGCAGTGGAAATGAACATAAATGTATCGCTAGTTTCTGGAGTCAAGGAATTCCACAACCATGACATAATCATGGAGTCTGCTTCATCCCATGCCCCAAAAGTAGGATCTCCTTGTTTTGGTCCTCCTCCAAGAAGATGGTGTATTTTTCCTTTCCCTTTTAAATAGGTCTTCGCAAATTGAGACCACTTTAGGTAGTTCTTCCCATTTAGACGATAGGAATGTTGCATGCTTTGGAGGTCGCTCATCCTTGGTGCACCATCGACTCCTCGGTTTGGTCAATGCTCTGTGAGGAATTAATTTCGGACATTATTATAGTAATTAAGACTATCTATTTGACCTTGGTTAGCAATGAAGGCTTCCCGGAATAAATTTCCCTTGTCGACAATAAAGGTCGATAATAAGGATTTTTTTTCACCGAACCGGTCGAGCCTTGAAAAAAAAAGGCTCGGATTGGACTAGGGCACGGGGCCCAGTTCCACCGCCCAAGTCGCACGCAGGCGTGCCGATCCCGTCATTGGTCGCGGTGGCTTCCTTACGCGAGTCACAGGCGTGGATCGGGTTTCCGATCAACTTCATCTGGGATGTGCGATCGCAAGAGGGATCGAGCGGGCTGCTTCGCTCCTTCGTCGACTTTCCCTTTTTGATAGATCAGGTACGACGCTTCTACAGCTCCTTCGACTCCTATGTGGTTGTCCGAATAAGCTCCTTCGACGACTTTGGCCTTCCTCTCGGATCGGAAGTTCAGATTGAGTCACCCATCCCGTCTGGCATATATGGGTCGGCAACGATTAAGTCTCAGATGCCCCAAGCTTCTTCTTTTCTCTTCCTCCTCCGACGATCTAGGATCCTTCTTCGACGGCAATTAAGGCCATTGGCTCTGATACCATGTTAAAATCGGGAATTTGAGAGGGAAAAGCTTGTCTTTATTCATTACTATCTTCCCTATTTATAGATTTATACAAGATATCTTAATGAGGAAATAATAGATTACATATTTAATACATAAAATTTCTAATAAAATCTTTCCTAAATTCGTTCCTTCATTATGGTGTGATCCATGAGAGCATCCCAATGATTTATCTGTGTCCGTCGGATTCTTTGCACTAGGAATGGCTGGGTTTCAACAACTTTCCAATATACTATGCCAATATGTTGAACACACCTTGACCATTGATCAACCCTTGCACATAATTTAGCAAGAAAAATGCTGATCATGCAAGACTATGTTATGTCCATTTGAAAAGGTTTACAGATGGTTTCGTTCAGGCTATGTCATGCCCAAACAAAATGATTTGAAATATAAGTTGAATTTGATCCAATCAAACATGGTGACATGATTAAACTAAAAGCTCAATTTTCAGGCATGAAGTGACACAACTATCAAACAGAAAGGAATGCATTCATTATTAAATTTTATTTACCGAAGCACCAGAAATTCTGTGTTATCCACTGCTGGAACAAATGATTAAAAAAACGCCTGCTAAGCCATTGTATGACTCACAACCTTAATTTCAACTAAATCAGGAGCATCGAGTGAAGCTCAGATATTGCATCTTGCTGCCTTTTAATTTGCCAAGGGTAAATATCAAACATAGCTGATAAGGTCTTAAGAATCACTCATTATAATTTTTCAACAGTAAAAACAATAAGTCTCAAATGAATAAAGCAAATTCTGGCCAATGGAACCTTGTCAAAGATGTTGAGCATGTCGCCTGGAAGCGTATGTGTTTTTTAAATAAGAACACCAACTTCCAAAACAAAATAATTTACATGCAGTACGTAGTCATGATCTATATTACTACTGCTAAATTGGCATCAAAAAATCACTTTGGCAAATCCATTACTAAAATAAAACAGAACTCCTGACCTCTTCCAATGTCTGAGAATAATTTTTAAAAGTTGCACACTTAAGTGCTTCTGAATATACAGATGCTTGCCCAAGAGCTACAAGCACTGTTTTCTCCGCCAAGCCTATTCTCATTTTGGACTGCAGAAAAAAAGTTCGAAGTAATGAAACTCCCTATGCAGAATGATGGTGAGATTTATTAACAGAAAAAACAACAAGAAAAGCTTTTAAACCTGAAGAAGGCGAATTATGTATAACGGTTCACAATCAGTGGCAGCTACAAGAAGACCTTTAATGTAACTTCTTTTCTTGTCTTGGCTGTCCTTTCCAGATTCCTGATATGCAGGAAAATCAAGTAGATAAGATTCAAACAAAATAGATAAGTTCACAAATATAGACAAAGTTAAGACCATGCAAATAAATCGAATTTCAACGAATTTTCTGCATTTACAAGTCTTGAGACTATGTAACCTTTGCAATGGCGCGAAATGTATCAAAAACTTTGGTGATGGTCAAACGCTGAGGCTTGTACAAAACTCTCTGTGAAGACCTACTAGCCTTGGCGACAAGACCCAAGTCACCTAATTCCTACCATCAACACACAATCTTCACAAATCATTCCTCGAAAACCAAAGAGAAAATGCTTTGGAAGTATCGCACACTCTACCAACCTGTAGCTGCTTATTGACATGCTCTTCCTTCCTCCCATAAGCTTCGGCGAGAGCCTTGATAAGCGAAGCATCTCCTATACCAAGCTCGATGCCCTCATGTGGAGGAGCAACCCTATTAGCCGACAAATAAACCGTCGGAAGAAGGTCGTTAGGAGTAGTAGCCATAACAGTCCGGAAGACATTGCAGATGATGTCCGTGATTGCGATCCTACCCGACTCGTTCGAGATGAGGTCTAGTGCGCGGGCGAGGAAGATGAACGGTACCGGGTCGCCATCTTTCCATGAGGCGGCGGCTTTAGGGTCGAAATCGGAGCCCTTTTTCCTAAGTTCGACAAGGATGTCGGTAGTTTCCAACTTCTTTGGTTCGTCCGTGGCAGATGGGGGTTCTAGGACTTTGTGTTTCTTGATAGGGGAAGAATAGTTCTCGGATTGGGATGATAAAGCCTGGCGATTCTTCTTGGCTGCGGCAGCGCGAGAGGCGCCCATGAGGACATCGGCGACCGTGCGGCCGGACGCCATTGTACAACGCTGGGAGGAAGACAAGAGAGAGGTGAGTGAGATTTTATTAGGGTTTTTGAGAAATGAAGAAAGAGGCGAAGGAGGAAGACAGGAGCATCGAAGGGGATGGAGTACAGTTGGTACCCTAAAGAGCATGTAATGCATAACAAAGTTATGTTGGCGTCACTGCACTTCATATTGGGCGGGATGAACGATAATACACCTGAAGAGTAAGTAGCCCTGTTCTTGTGTTTTGTTAAGCGAATTAGGGGCCGTTTCTTTTGCCCAAAAAAAAATTATAGTGTAAAATAAATTGGGATTTACACATATATAATATTTAAAATTATTTGATTTATATATCTAACACATAAACATTAGAATTTAATTATTTACCACCTAAAAAAGGTTCCCCTCACTTGTCATTATGTTACATCACGTCAAAACCACACCCCCGACATCATCTTCTTCATTCGCCTTATTCACTCGGGCTCTGTCACTCAGGACATGCCTAAGAGGACACGCCTAAGATCAACAATATTTGATTTTCATCTTCTTCATTTTTTCTTTGTTATTGTTGCTTGCTTTTCGATCTTCTCCATTTCAATATCAACTTGTTTGCTTTTTGTCTTCTCCATTTCTTCGCTGTTGCTGACGTTTTCTTTTCATCTGCTCCATTTCTTCATTGGTTTCCATCTTAACCATTTCATTTTCATCTCTTTAACTTTTCATCTTCTCCATTTCTATGTTGTTGTTGAAGGGTCCAAAGGGTCTCATGGATTTGTTAGTCTATGAGGATTTTCTTGGTTGTTTGTGTAAAACTGGGAAATTTAGAGATGTACGTAAGCTGTTAGATAAAACATTTATTAGTGATAACGACATGATTCAATTTTGGGTACTAATGTAAAAACTGGAAGGAGGTCAATTCTTTCAGCTTAGCTCTTTAAATTTGATCTTTGAGACAATGCATTTGAAGCCTACTTTCGATTGTTGTGCAAGAATGGGAGGCTAATGTAAAATATGTAGATTTTTTATTGCTTATTATAGTGCATCTAAAATACTATGGATTGCTATCTTTTTTTATTGCTTTGAATGATTGGTTTTGTTATTAGATGCCTATAACAAAATCTGCATTCTTATTTTTAATGTTGTATTTGTATTGCTTCTCAAGTTCTAAAGCCACTGTGCAATGAGTTCGAGCTCATCGACGATGTCAATGAGAAACCTAAATAATTAAATATATTATCCTTACAATTTGTAATATATAATTTATACCTCCTAAAAAGCTCTTAGTACTGGAAGAAAATTTTGTAGACTCCCTCGTAACATATCAGAAGATGATTGTGATTATTTTAGGTGGTGTGAATAACTCAATGATTTGATGCGTGCTATGAATCCCTGAGAAGTTAAAATATAGTCGGAACCAATCCAACTCATTTGTTACAGTTATAGATGAGTTTCTTCAAATTAAAATATTGCTAGTGATCGTGGTGATCCTAATTTTGTTGTTAGCAATTGTTGTGAACTCTCTACCGAAGAGTTGTAGCTGTAATTGTTGATTCTCCTTGAAATGAATGTAATTTGATGTATTAGTATTTGTGCCGATTGGGCATTGTTCTTTCACCTGTTAATGTAATCTTTTAAAAAACTAGTAGAATGTTATACTATAATTTTATATGTTGTTATTAAGTGTCATGTATTACTTTTAGATGTTGTGGATTAGTCCAAAAAAAATCACAAGGTCTGATTTATATGTTGTAATTAAGTAAAGCTTTGTTGCGCAAAGATGAAAGAGCTTTGTTGTAATTAGTGTTATGATAAACATTCCAAAGACTTGCTATAGTTAGCTTTGATGAAAGGCAGGACTAAAGAAACATAAAATAGTAACGGTGCAATTAACATGACTGATTTGTAGAATGGTGGTTTTGGCTCTTATTGGCCATATTTAAGATTTTTGCAGTCAATAAGATGAGTAATATGGGCTCTACTAATCATGTTTGTATGAATAAAAATTTTACAGGCATTAGAAAGTGTTATTTGGATCAATGCTGGCCTTCAAAGAAGAATACAAAATACAAAATGACCCATATAAAGTATTATTAGCCTTAAAAAAAACTAAAGTAAAATTGGCTTATCCCAAGGATAGAGAATATGTACGACGGATTGGTAGTTTTGCACGATGTAGTAGACAATTGATCACCGTGCAAAATCCTTTTATCAATTTTGTCACCTTCCACATTTAGAGAGTTCTTACGAGTGTTTCTATGATGTCCCAATAAATTTCAGTGACTACAATTATGGCCTAGTTTTGTTTTCTTTGCAACTTCAAAAAAAAATTTAATTCATCTCTTCTTTGAACTTAGTGTGCCTACCAGCTCACCATCGTTAACTACATACCATGGATCCTTCCCTGAAAGGGTTGAAATTGCTCAATCATACACCATTTTGTATTTAACCATAAAAGCATAAAAGTTTAAGACAAATAGCGTGAGCATAGGTTGCAATTGAAAGAGGCATAACATAAACCTATACATGTAGTAGGGATCGTCGACGTACGTGTGACATAAGGTGTGTTGTTTTGTTCCAATGAAAGCACGCTATATACACAATGTGGTCCAGTTAATTATCAAAATCCACAACAACAATCCTTCTCTATGTCCACCTCGTGACATTCATGATTGCCCGTAACCTTAGTTGTTGTTGTTGTTGATTGCCGAATAATAAATGTTCTTTTCTTGTCGTGATATATTTGATATATTCGTCTGCATGAGAAAGTAGTAGACCTTTCCAATCATCATAGTTTAACTTTCTATGATAATGTTGAGCCATAAGCATTGCCCTAATAATGTCGACCAAATCGACCATAGACTTGATTATAGCTTCTTCTGCCCATTAATTAATAGATTATTCTACCCATGTAGTTATTGTCAACTGAGCTGAACATTAATTATATCTCCTGCTAATTCTCTTGAATGACAATATTTCATATATGGCAATGACAATCCAAAAGTTGTCTCCAAGTTATTGTTGATGTCCTTTGGCGTGATATCAATATTTTTGTTTATAATGTCATTGATTTCATGAGCTACCCAACTTGTAGTAGCTGCTTATTTTCTGCTCTATTGACCCTTGGGCATAAATGAGTATAATGCAATTTTATATTTCAAAGCAGTGACAACTAGGAAATAATGAGGCACGTATTCTCCATAGATAACCAAGGTACGTGCAAGTAGATATTACTCTGAATTTGTCAGTAGCCTTTATCTTAATAACAAAATTATATAAAATTGCATTAAACCGACTTGCTTGCTTGAAACTTTTGGAATCTTCAAAATGTGAACTGTCACGGAGTATTTGTCTCATCAATCTGAGCTAGAAAGAATTCATCGTACATATCATCTACGATAATGTCATTGTTCTAAAAAATCTTTGAGCTTAAATGATGCATTCCAATTAATTGATTGTCAATTGCAATTTGAATATTTTGTAACTGCCACATATGTTATTCGTGAAATTTCAATACAACCACCACCTTAATTATATTCCTTTTGTAATAAATGTTACTCATGTAAAGTATATCAGTATCACTCATAATCAACTTGTAATTTTTAGGCGAAGTTTCGTTGATATGATAGTGTAATTCAATGGTGTGACCCTAAGCCATGGATAGAGTGATTTAGTTATTCTTTTAACAATAATAAATTGATTTTATTTATATGAAGCTTTAAGATTTTATGACTTCCACCATCATATTTCATTCGATTATGACCTTACACCTCACTCCAATATTCACCAAATTTGAGGACAATAAAGTAAAATTTACTCGAATTCATATTTGTGAATACAAATATTAAAATGTGAAATGAGTTAATCTATATCACTTATATTCAAAGTAATAGCAATCCAAAGTGTATATTTTTTTTTTTGGCAAATTATATTTCATCAAAAGCTCATTATATAATAAATTCAAAGTAAAATATTATATTTCGATTATTAGTGCTACATAAATTCAAACTAAACTCTCCTTATTCTATATAAATTAAATTACACGATATTTCAAAGCTGAAAAAATACCACTTATATAATATCCACTAATTCTATAAAAGCTGAAAAAATCATAAACTCTCCTTAATATGTATCACTTATATTAAAAATAAAATTTGTTCACTCAGAAATTAGTTAATCTTTATCACTTATATAATCAACATATTTTATGATGGACACATAATCAAAATTTTTATTGAAGTAAAATATGATTTTATGTATTAAGGTAGGGGTGTCAAAACGGGCCAACGGGTCGGTTTACCTCCAACCCAAATTGACATGGGTCTAAACTGGTTGACCCTAACTCTACCTGATTTTGTAAATGGGTCAGGAATCCCAACCCAGACACAACCCATGCGGGTTATCGGGTTAACTCAACCCGATTCGTGAACAGATGAGAAGCAACTAGCAAGCAGGTTCAGAGACTGGGGGGGGGCTGTGCTCATGTTGATGCATCATAGCATTATTTAGCTATTTTGATATCCTTTCACATGATATCCCATTCCATGGATATCTAAATTATGATTTATCATTTTTCAAACATAAGAAGCATCTCAAAAAAAAAAAAGTAAAATAGGTACTTTCTCCATTCAATATTTTTAATGTTATTATCTCCCTATGTTTAGTTATCTACCAACCTATTACCTACATTTATCTTCTTTGTTACAGGCTAGAATATACACGGCGATAGAGTTAAAATCTCATATCTTAGCATTTGCACAGATATCCAGCTCACACACAAAAAACACAATATTTTTTATCTGAAAAACCCTAGAAAGGGGAAAAACCACGGGGTTTGTCCTAGTCTGAAATGATTCCACTAGTGTTTAGGCAGATTACAATTGGCTGACTTAGCCCTAAGGGTGATCAAATTACAAATGTCAACCGTATAGTTAAAATCTAGTGACAAACATGGATAAAACGTCTGGTGTTACTTGGTGGTCTGGCGAAAGTTCGGCATTACTTAAAAATTCGAGCATCAATTTGTAGCATCACGGTGGTTTGGCAGAACTGCAATGTCGGACAGTGGTCTAACAGAACGCCGGGCGTCAGGTGGTGGTCTGTTAGAAGTCCGGGCCTCATGTGGTAATTCAACAGAAGTATGGGCCTCACGTGATGGTTCAGTAAAAGTCTGGGCCTTAGGTAGTGGTCCGGCAAAACTCCGG